CAAGCAAATTTAATAGGGGAAGAAGTGCTAAAGAAGACTGGATGGCACTTTCTAAACCATAATTAACAGCTCCTAGGTATATATAATAGGTCATCTCAAAAAGGAATTTCCAGCGCGTGAGAAGCCGACAGGCCACAATGGTAATACCAATAACACGAGAATATGAGCAGTCGGGTACCACAATATACACGGATGACTGGAAAGTATGTCGATACCTGCCTGCATAATATCGTCGTTCACAAGAGACGTTTTGTGGACCGCACTACGGAAGTAAATATCAGTAATATAGAAGCGATGTAGTCGAGGCTAAAAGAATTTTCGCGACCTTATCATGACTCTACAGGTCGACTATTATGGAGTCACAGAGATGAGTTCCTGTATCGTATGCATTACTATTTCAGAAAGTACAGAGCCTCTTTCTAACCTTGAAAGGTTTTTAAACTATATTAAAGAAGTGCATCCCTTTTTATTTTTTTGGTTTTGTGTAAAATATTCTTACGCTATACTGACTGTTTTCTGATTGGCTGAAAATTTTCAAGTCACTTCAGATCCGTTCAAAGGTCGTCCATAAATGATAGTCTCTCCATAGAAGTGTTACATAATTCTTCTAAATACATAGACTAGGGTTGATCACTTGAATCACCATAGATTATGTTACATACAAGAAACGGAATTAAATCCAGATGGGGAATGGCTAAAGTATGTGACAAATCATTCGAAACGATTTGCTTTTATGCAACAGATGACAACTTTTAACCAATTGTGATAAAAACGGTGGCACCTGTTGATTGTGTTTAATCCTTTCCTAACTAGCCAGGGAGTTGTTCAGTGATCTCATTGGCTACGTTGCCTAGTGGTACAATGATAGGAACTTTTACAAAATGACAATTCTTCATAAATCAATTTATCTACTTCTACTCTTCGTTAAAACTTTCGGGCATTAAATTATATCTTCTTGAAGATAAATTCTTTCACATCAATTAAAGAACCATTAAAATACAGATACTTTTGGGTTACAATTCCGATCTGGTTGGTTGGAATCCCTCAAAATAATGGTTAGTGACTTCTCTTATACGGTAGATCAGTTACGATTTAATCTTGTTTAAGAATCATTTGTCAAATAGTAGTTAGTATCATCATATCCACGATAGAAATCTAACAATAATGATTAAATTACATAGTAAATAATAGCTTATTACGTTTTGTTTTTTAGCATATGGAACATGATCACAAAACTGATTATTCCATAAATTAAAATATCGACTATACAATATTATACCATGCAGTGAACATTGTTTAACCATACATCCTTTTAATGTAATATACTAATCTTACTCTTCAATCCACTCCCTACTTAATATATCCATCCAATTTTAATTTACAGGAATATATATATTACTTAGTGGTTGTTCAAAATAATGGAAGATGGTCGCGCGACATCGTGAATTGTTTGAAGTTAGCCATTGACACCGTTAGATGTCGACTAAGTGGTATAGAGGGTAACCATTAGCGCGCAAAACCGAAGGTGCTGGGTTCGGATCCCGTTTGAGGGATCGCGAATGCGCACTTCTGAGCAGTGCCATACTAGGATGAAACGGCCGTCCAGTGCTTTCAGGTTTTCAATAGTATTGATCAGTTCATGATTGTAATGAAAAACATATTAGTTTGAATATTAAATGGTTGTCTATCCTTATATTTTTTCACTAGAAATGTGAACTAAACAAAAGAGTAATAGACTATTCGTAATTTAACGTTTTCGCCTATGAATGATAAAAAGATATATAATGGTAGTAAGAAGCATTATAGATTCAAAATTGGTTCAAAAATATAACTATTAACATTTGACATTACATTCAGCCTGCCACATGACATACGATATTTTCATCTTTGATATAGAATTATCAAGTATTTCCGATACCTTGGCCAAATGACTTTACTTATTCAAATACGACTTAAAACCTGATATAAATGTATATGTCTATTGGACTTCTCATAAAGATCAGAAATTAACGGTATGTAAAAGCTAATGAGTCTAACTGATAATATTACTAGTAACGGCAAGCGAAAAATGTGAATTTTTGGAAACTTACGAACGAAATCAAGGAAAAAAGAATTTTCATCTACGTTATTACAACTGAATAATGATCATCTCATATTACCGGTTGTAGTCATCGAATGAAATCTAACTAAGATGTTTTGACTCCATGAGACGGGTCAGATCAATAAAAAATAACTTTGAGTACTAATATTATACATAGATTCAAGTGCCTTTAGCTTCTTCTTATTCTATTTCTATGCTTACTAGTATGTTGTTTGAGTTAATAAACTACTTGATTGATGAAAGTATTCAACTTCATTAAACAACTTGAGATTTCTACATAAAACCCTAATTTAGCTTCAGAATAATTCATTTGGTGTTTCCATTATACTGAAGTAACATTTTGAAGACAAAGATGATCAAGTACATACTTTCTACCTTCACAGACCATAATTTACCGTCGTAAATTAATCCTAAAATAAATGATTGATCAGAACATATAAAAATATCTCTTTCTTAAATAAAATTGTTTTTGTTGTATTCTCTTATTCTTACATAAATAAATGTAACTTTCAAACTGATATAGGCGGATTTTTTTTATTATTTATTTATGATAGTTTTCTTCATTAATAATCGTTTTGTGTGAATAATTTTCAAACCGTTTGAAAATCTCCATCATGTGTGAACGGAGAATATATTCTCTATATAGCAGTAGGCATTAAGATTCTTAAATAACTGAAGTTTTGAGTACAAAAGAAACGTGACTAGCCACTTCTTTCACGTTGAACAACCTTAAAAGGCAGCAAGTTGAGTTATATTAATTTTATAAGATGACCTTATTTAACTAATGTGTGCCTAACCTTATCTTTCGAATTTTTTAACTTAAGATATTATTGATTGAAATCATGAATAGATCAATGTTAGACCACTATTGAAAACCTGAAAGCATTGAATGACCGTCTTAGCCTAGTATGGGACTCCTCGGCAGTGTGAAACCACAATCTCTTACGCGGGATCCGAGCCCAGGACCTTAGGTTTCGTGTACGAACCCTTAACCTCTATACCACTGAGCTACCACCTAATTGGTGTCAACTTCACCAATCCGCGAAATAGCCGTCCAGTGTATCCAGGTTTTCAATAGTGGTCTAACATTGAACGATCCATGATCTCAATCAAAAACTCAACAATCTTCACAACCCCATACTGATATTTAAGATATTATCATTATTATTATAATCATTAATATATCTTTGTATTACTGTTATTATCACTAATCACCATCTAAATACATGACGAATTTAATTGGCACTCAACCCATTGTATTGTTATTACTGATCACAAATTCATACATTGTATAATCTTCGATCAAACATTAAATCTGATTTGTAATTACACAAATAGTTCACTTACATCATGTTATTTAATAATTATACTGATCATTAATTTCACAATCTTATTTTAAGTATACACTTATTCAAGCTAACAATTTACTAGTCACTTCAACATTAACAATTTTGATTTGATTTTACAAACAGCCCTCAATTTATAAACTCTAATTTTGAATCTTGTTAGTAAAGACGCTAACCAGGAGTAAGTAAGTAAGTAAGTAATTTTTAACAATGTGTTTACTCTAAACTTGATCATTCTATTAATCTTCATTCGTAACTGTAATATCGAACATAAGGAAAACTGATTAAAAAGAGTGATATATATATATACTTTAACTTTTATATAATTAATGAAATACAAACAAAACGTTTGATGTATGTAGACCGCTACACCAATTCTCTATACGATAACATACTTATACAATTCTAAAGACTGCTATCTGAAGTTTGTGCTGATGATTTCGTTCAGAAGAACGATGAAAGCTCCACGACCAAACCATCCAGCTCTGAGAACAAAACTCCATCAAAATTATCCACCTGAGCTACAAATTTTCTCCACCATCTCAATTCTAAAAATACTTATTTTTTCACACTATATAATGAGGATATGAACACCTAGGTAACTTTTATGATTATTACAATTACCTATTTTTGTCCGTGAATGTTGATCATTATAAACTTTAACATCTGGAATTATGAAATTCCATATGTTATAGTTAATATATTAAGCAATTTATGCAAACATTTCACTAACAATATACATTTGCTTGTCTTTTTTTTAAATTCTTATTTTTGCATGCAAAAAATCCTGAACTCCGAATGCGATAGTCTTTTTAACTCATTTTATTTGGAAGAAATCCATCTCATATATATTGAATATTTGAAATTATCGACTTCATTGATAACGTTAATAATAAAGTGAATCTATTTGTCACATATAGACGGTATATGAACGAATAAATATTGTGAGTGTAATATACGTAAAATACATGGAGTTAGATACACGTAACACATATATATATACTTACACACACACACACACACACACACACTCTATTTATCTCCATATTATAGAAATTTGTCCCAATTACAAATGATGTGCTTTGTCATAATATAAATGCGTGGGTGTGAGTGAATTAAATAATTTTCTAAACTAGAATTTGAGTTTTTATCATGGTCTTAATAAATGTTATTTACCTATAAAAATGGTTGGTTAATATTATGTAAATTATAAAGCCTATCAATTTAATGAGATCATCATTATTGTCTAGAGTTTTATTCATCTATCTAATTACATGTGAATCAGTTGTCTTGACCTTCGACCATATGTATATATATATAGATAGATAGATAGATTTAAATAATTTTATAATGTAATGTAATTGACTTATGCAATAATTAACTGTCATATTTTCATACACAGTGCTGTTCAAAAGATCATCTACTTTATTACGAATTAAGTTTGTGAAAGAAAAAAATAGAATCAATTTTCAACTACAGAATAGAAGGTGAAAAGTGGAACGATATACATTATGAGGAATATTTTCATCAAAATATTTCAATTATTTACAATTATGGAAATTTTCATTTATTTAAATATGTATCAAACAGTTGTACACAGTAAGTTATACTTTGTTCATATTTATATTATACATTTTTATAATATTTGGTATATAGTAAAGATGACATGTGCTTCAGATTGACCTATTTTGATCAATTAGTAGATAGCTAGGATAAATGAATGAGTTATTAGTTCAGGATTGGGACTTTGGATATAACTTATGCCAGTCGGTGATAAAAACCCATGTTCTAATTTCTAACCCAATTTGGATTAATGTACTGTGATCTTGAAGCGATTCATACGTTCACCATCTACTCGACTGTATATTTCGGCTTCACAAAACTCATGAACACCTTTAAGGTATATATTTTGGCTGTAAAGCAATTCACACTGGTAATGCATTTTCTGATAATTTACTCTACTCATGCCTGCTTCCGTTCGGGCACCCGGGTAATATCCCAGCCCTCACACAAATCGAGTGATTCGTGTAGCGCATATCTATTTGGTGCCTCCTTGTACCAATGTTTATGTGTTTCGGTAAATAAATAAATAAATAATATTCTACTTATAAGTTAAGCAATTAGATAGCTAGGGATCGACAGTTACAAGCAGAAATAAGTGGAACACTAAGAAATGACAGTAGAAAAAGCTTCAAGAGAGGAACATTCCAGACAAATATATGATACAACGAAGAAACTGGTAGGGAAATATTGTAAACCAGAGAGATCAGTCAGAAACAAAGAAGACCAATTAATCGTTGAGATTCACGAACAGAGGAACAAGCGGGTAGAGCACTTTGAAGAACTCTTGAATAGACCAGTCCCAGTGAATCCGCCGGATATCGAAACAGCACACAAAAACCTCCCAATACATCACTCTATAAGCAGTCGAAGCAGACAGGATGGCCATCAGACAAATCAACAGTGGGAAAGTAGTAGGACCAAACAACGGACCAACTCAAGTACTAAAGTCAGACATAGAAGTAGTTGTGAAGATTGTCTATTCAGGAAGATTTGAGAGGAGGGACAAGTCCCGACATGATGGAAATAAGCATACTCCACCAAAATACTTAATAAAGGAGATCTGAGCAAATGAGAGAACTGTAGAGACATTACACTACTATCGGTATTAGGAAGAGTTCTCAACAGAGTGTTGTTAAACCGTACGGAAGATTCAGCAGACACCAAAGTTCACTATCAACAGGCTGGATTCCGTGAGGATCGGTCGTGCACAGACCAAATCGTGACACTAAGGATCATCACTGAACAATCATTTGAGTGAAACTCGTCACCATACATCAACTTCCTGGACTATGAAAAAGCTTTTGACTATGTGGATAGGAGAACATTATGGGACCTTCTTCGACACTACGGTGTGGGTAGTCGAGAAGATTGTCAACATCATACAAAATTCACACGACAGACTACGCTGCAAAGTTGTGAGTAGAAGGCAGCTGACAGACGCTTTTCAAGTCAAGACAGTTGTCAGACAACGCTACTTACTCTCTCTCTCTCCTTTCCTTTCTTCTGGTAATTGGCTCGATTATGAAGGCCTCCACATATCAGGGGAAGCATGGAATACAATGGATAGCTCGGATTCAACTGGACGATATAAACTTTGCAGATGAGCTAGCTCTTCTATCCCATACGCATCAGCAAATGCAGGGAAATACAATCAGTAGGCCTCATCATACACAAGGGAAAAAGCTAAATCCTCAAATACAACATAGAAAACACCAGCACAATCACACTTAGTGGAGAAGTCCTGGAAAAGTGGAACCTTTCATATACTTGAGCAGCGTCATCGATGAATCAGTGGATCTGATGCAGACGTAAAGGCGAGGGTCGGCAAAGCAAGGACAGCATTCCTATATTCACAGAATATATGGAACTCAGAACAACTGTCTGCAAGACAATATCAAAGTCAGAATCTCCAATGCGAACGTCAGGACGGTTCTACTGTATGGAGCTGTAACTTAGAGAACTACAACAACAATTGTTTACGGAAGATACTCGTTGTCCGTTGGTCGAGCAGCAGCCTACTGTGGGAGAGAATAAACCAGCTTCCGGCTGAAGAGGAAGTTGGAAAAAGGCGCTGGAGGCGGATAGGAGATATAATATTTAAACCATTACACGGCATCACGAGGCCAGTTCCAACTTGATATCTTGAGGGGAAACGAAAAAGAGGAAGACAAAGAACACACTGCGTTGTGAATTGGAGGCAGACATGAAAAGGATGAATAGCAACTAGAAGGAACTGGAAAGGATTGTTCAAGAGAGGGTTGGATGGATAATGCTGGTTGTCGGCCTGTGCTACTTCACGAGGAATAACAGGAATAAGTATGTTATGTCTCAAAAGGTAAAACAATTCGAGCTATCAATCTTAATCTTTGTGTTTAAAAAAACGGCTGCAATATCTTTGTCCTTAAATTGACTAAAGAAAAGCTGATAAACGATATTATCAATTCTTTCTACTCATTGTTGCTTTGCTGTACGCGTAACTGAAGTGAATTCTCACATATTTCCCAATTCTTGGTTTCTAATGATTATTATATTCCATACTTTAAAACGTTTTACTTATGACTCAACTTTCATGTATTTCGATATTGACCACCTTATGTAAAACTACCTAAAAAGTACAATTATACAACTTAGATAAATGACATTGTTGAAAAAGAAAATTTTCGTAGCTAAAATGTTTTAATCCTGTTGAATGACTCAATGGGTTTATTTATTCAAGCTTTGACCTATATTTTATATCAATCTATCTGCTTATTATTTCTTTACTACTATAACTGTTAACTTAATATCAAGTTGTACATTTCCTTCATTTACCTATGTAATCTTTATTCATTGTTGTCCATGACCCACAAATACATTGATTACTTGAATGTTCTTCATATATATGTACAAATATAACCACTGTCTACCAGAGTGAATCCTGATGACTATCTATTTGAAAACGATATGTCCTTAAAAAAAGTTCAGTTTTATTCAATTACTCGCTAAAATTGTTGTATTTCAATAAGATGTTTTCATTTTAATCTATTGTTTATATTTATATAATTTTTAATATTGAATTATCATTGACTCAGTAGTTATGCTAAGATCAATTGTGGTTAAGTAATAATTAATCACAAAAAACAAATTGATACCATTACTTCAGTCCGTAAGCTCACACAATCCAATATAAATATATAAAGACATTTAAATAAAACATTCTTAGATTGTGTTCACTGTGATGTTGAAGCTGTCATACCCTTATACTGTCTTCATAAAATCCTTCACTACTAAAGACTGTATGGTATGTACATGCTTGGATATATTTTAACATAACAATAGTAATTTACATTTTATAGATACCATTATGAAGAATATCTTTGATAGTAATATTTAATATTCGTTATTGTGTAGATAAACTATTGAAGGATTTCCAAAATTCTTTGTACTGGATTCGTTATTCAGAGACAGAAATATCAAAACAGTATCCAACTTTTTGCTAAACTGGATCAATTTGAGGTGTTACATTTTGCTGCGGTTCAAGAAGGTAGCATCAATATGACTGAAAAGAAATATGATGAATGGAGTAGATATTAATCAGGAAACTGATACAACAGATGTGATTCAAGAAAACATGATATAATCATTTCATCCTTCCCATTATAGTTGGTTTGAAGGTGGTATTGATTAGGTCGATCAATTGGTTTTTTAAATCTTGACGACCTCTGTTAAATAGCACAGACTACGGTGTACGCGTGTGAATGTTTCGATAATCAATCAATGGTTGATTAACCTCATATGTTTTTCAACCCAGTTAATTTAACTTACAGGTGCCCATGTGCAGATTATCTAACTGGAATTTAGGTTTAAATAAGGTTTATAGTTGAAAAATATGCATCCATGTGCAACTATTTGATGTTATATTTGTTTAGCTTATTTATTTAAAAAAAAACACTGCTTAACTAAATGACTAGGAATTTAAATTCGCTGCAGGTTCCAATCTAATTTCTCTTTTATACGTACTCTAAAGTGAAATTTTTGAGAAGAACGGAATTTCACCCCTTAATTATTGAAATAAAACGTTTGTATCATGTTCATTTCTGTTTAAATGAATAATTATGTATAATATTACTCATGGCCTTGACAAATTTGCCTACCTTTTCTAGCTAAGCCGATAGAAACATATGCAAAAGATGATGTGAACTTTTCAAAACCATGTCCTGAAGAAAACTACAGATATCATAACGGTGTGTTATTATTTTAATTTCTTTTCCATATTTATATAAATACATTTAAAACATTTTCACGCTCATGTACTCAAACAATAAATGAAGCTGAACAAAATTGTGGATCGTGATAATCAGTGTTGATTGAATGGCTCAAATGTTTCACTATCGAACGTGCTTCGACCTTGGCTTAAGCTAAATTCTGATTAAAGATCTTAATATAATCTTAAACGCTGGAAGTGATTCACCACCGGAGAATCGCGTGATCATTCTATTCATTTTCAAAATGGTCTAGGGAATAGTTAATCACTGGGGCATTAATCTGCCATAAAATGTATCATCACTAGTGACTCTTGTCTGCATCACGTGTCTTTTGAGAAGCTTGAAAGGATAACTCTAGAAAGTAATTTAAGCGATATGCTTTATGAGTGAACACCTAGACACCGACATTCTAACCGCTTCCAAGTCCCCAAGATTCTTTAGCCATCGAATCCAGAAATAGGAATCAAAAAGGCGGGAAGCATGAAAACACTCCTTAAGAGCTTATTTGGCATACAGAGAACTAGAGTATTTATTGTTTACCTATAACCTTGGGGCTTTAGAAATTTTCGGAAACATGATAAATTTAGTGAAAAGATCAGTGAATATCTAATCAGGATGTGATATATGATCTGTCTTTTCCCAAAATGTTCTTGGAGGGTTCTAAACAAAACTGATTGTAATTTAATAGTTGAAATCATGAATCAATTTAAGCTAGACCACCATGGAAAACCTGGAGGCACTGGACAGCCATTTCTTCCTAGTACAGGACTCTTCAGCAGTATGCATCCACGATACCGCCCGTGGGATTCTAACCCAGAGCTTTCGGTCTGATTGTATTAAGTACATTCACTGAGGACTTCTGACACTAAGCTTCGCCATAACCGTGAACACACTATTCAGATCTTGATGTTCTGTAAAATGATTAAATCTCGCTACAAGTTTTACAGTTGGTTATCAATATATTACTTAACAGAGATGTTACCTTCTACTGAAGCGTTTTATGATGATAAAGCCCATCCAGGTTGTCTTTACAAACATCATACTAGATGGCTAAAAAATTTACCCCAGATTGGAGAATATTCAGTAGTTTTTTTTAAAAGGATGAAATGGATAGCTTCAGTGACTTGGTTTCTTTCCGGATCTCTAGTCTATTACGTGAGTTGGTAGTCACCAGAAGAAAGTATAAGATAATTTAGTTGAAGTTTGTTTAGCTATTAACTATCTTATTTGTCTTACTAAATACTATACTAAGAATTTTTTGAAGATCATGCATAGGAGTGTGACCAAATTAAAGGATTGTTTCATTAACACCAAGAAACTTCCCGCTTGTGGTTTAAATGAGTACGATTATCTCTTGATAGTCACTAGATGAGATACCTGCTTTCGATCCAGGAGTGTGCTCTGGCCACCACATTTGATGGTCATTAAATCATGGTTTGTTACTAGAAAACAACCACGTTTACCTCTCATATATGTCACTAATAACCACCGTTTTAATATGATAACTCTGAGAAACGGTTTCACCGTTTTAACATACCTTGTGAGTGTACATCTATGACTCTCTGGGAGAGTCCAATCACTTTCTTCAGTTAATCTCAGTAAGTTGTTTAGTCACTTTTCTAATGAAATTCAAAAATAAACAAATATCTATATGCACTTATTTACATCGTGCTTTTATTTATTTTTTAGCTACTGGATATTTTATGTGCACTGTTGAAACAGCCAAAAAATGCATTGACTTATGTCAACAAACAGGATGCAATGATTTATATTTTATGAGTGTGATCCCTTCGAAAAATGATAAAATCAAACGAAACTATCGTTGTCGCTGTTTCCAGGATTATCACGTCTGCTTTTATAATCCATTGCCAAGATATCATAACATTAATTAGTTGATAATAATGATATTAATAATAATGGTGTTGGTAATCGCTACCATTAGTATTATTACTGTTATAAAAAAAGTGTTTTCCTCCCTAAATCGGTTTGTATTAGTCGATAATTCTAGGAAACAGAGTGTAGTGTGTATTTGTAAAAACTGCTTTCAGACTAAATTTAGATATTATTTTACTGGGATTCAACGTATATAAAGGAAACAAAGATCTGTACATTTGAATGGTTGCATCATATCATGTTCTATATATTTGACTGCGTGTGCATTTTTTGTGTACCACTATTGTTTGTTTTAAAAAAACAATTTGTATGTTTAACTATCTTTGCTCCCCCCATTTTAACTGAAAAACCCTACTGGGAGATAATTATCTGTTTATAATAATAATAATAATATATAAATATAACGGTGTATAAAACCAAGTAAGCCACTTACATAATCGACACTCAGATTATTTTTTTCTAAAAATAGATTACACAACATAGCATATGTATGCTGCTAGTAAAGAAGAATAATATGTATGTACCCCCAATGTTGTAAGAGTTTGAAATTTATAAATGCATATTTTTGTTTGTAAAGAATCATTATTTTGTTTGTTAATGGCAGCGTCATGTTGCACACTATTTGCAAATTAAGAAAATGTTTCGACCCTAAGTATAAAACTTAAATCAGGACAAATGATAAAATGGTGCTATATGCGATTTTATTGTGAAGTTTCCCCTCATTTCTCTCTCTTCCCCTTTCTCATTGTAACTGTTCTTAAAGTGTTGAAAGCATACCATTCAACATAGCTGGGCGAATTGAAACGATGAATGGCAACCGTATAATCTATTCATGTAATCGATTGAGATAAAAATAAAAATTCATTCAACCGTTTTCTTCATTTACTTCATCCCCGTATACTTATAATTTTTATTAGTATATAACTGCTGTAGTTATGACGGATATTGCTTTTTTTAAAAAAATATGTCTACAATATTATTCAGAACCGTTTATTTGATGTGTATATCTATATCACATTGTATTAAGGTAATAAATAGCATCTCAAACTACTAGTTTTTGGATGTTTTGGGAATTTAAGGATGGAAACTAACGGTTCTCTATGGGGTGTAGACCAACCAATAAATAATATATAGCTTCGTGAATAGCTTTCTATTCTCGCAAAATACGCAACAACATTACGTGAACATCCAGAAAGAAACCCTGTTAATAAATAGGTTTCATAAAATGGGTCAACTGACCTGCATTACGGACAGCTGAATCCTTTGTTTAAACCCACCTTAGGTTATTCACCAAGTTGCACTTGAAAGATCGACCTATTTGGGTATCTGCATCTAACTGGGAGTCAGTAGTTCCACAGAAGTTTGTACATAGAATGTTGGTTTGATGATTTCCGACAAAAGTCGTTATACGTCATAGTGTCACAATACGTGTGTATATTAGTGGCGAAAATTCATTTCGGATGAACAAACGAGAAAATTTACAGCCACGTTGTTGAGTTTCGTTTGTCAAAGTTAGAAAAAGATCTTATCAATACGTCACTAGACATGCGTTATGATTCATTCCGTTGTTTCCGAGAAATTTATTTAAAATATCAACGATTATAAACGATTGTAAAGTGGAAATCGATTTCAAAGTAACTTACATATAGAGATTATTTAGTTGGCACAGTCAAGAAGTTTGGTTTTGTATCCGCTTCCCACTCATCTACAAGACGTATTTGTTTTTTTGAAAATGTAATGGAAATATTATGTAATTATATTCTGTGGGTGAAGTTATGCTCCTTACAAATTTTAGTTAATCTTTCACTTCACTGATATCCAGCCGCTTCGAAAAATGTCTTATGAAGTAGGTTTCGACTGAACTGTTATAACAAGTTTAAAATAATGTATGGGGTTTTATGTAATTTTGTGGTTTAAAGAATTTTTGCTGTTTGTGGGTTTGTGTTGAATTTCTCTAGTCTAGGTACATGCTGTCGGCCACTGTATCGTGTGTTATATGCGTACACTACGGAACGTAATCAGAAGTCTATGACGACTCACATTCCCCATTCATACTTACATGGTTTTCTTCTCTATACTGGTAATGATGTGTATTATGGTCTGTTAATTAATAAGCTTTGTAATTAAAAAAGCTTTCGCCTACGTCGGCGAGATATCCGTCTACCAACCAAAGGACGTGTTTACCGCTCAGCAGTTCGTTCCGTCCTAATTTATGGCAGTGAAACATGGCCGGTAAAAGTAGAGGATATTCGTAGGTTACTAGTATTTCATCATAGGTGTCTTCGAAACATTGCTTGTATATCCTGGGACCATTGAGTAAGTAACGCAGTTATTAAGAAACGAGTATTAGGTAAGGATGGCAAATCAATTGACGAAGTAGTGAAACTTCATCAGTTGAGATGGGTGGGACACATGTTACGTATGCCCAACCACCGAATACCTCGACGTGCGATGTTTTATGGTGTAGGAGTAGGTTGGAAGAAAGTTAGTGGCGTCCAGACCAAAACATGGCACAAGTCCATGAAGTCACTGACAAGTGAACTGAGTCATGTTGGTAGGTGTAGACTACCTGGTTGGGGACCGCCAGATGATAGCAACCGATGGTTGGAGATGTTGAATGACATGGATGAAAATCGTTTGCCATGGCGCAGGTGCATCCACTTTTTGTGTTATCCCAAATTCTAATCTTCTGAATTCTTCATGTCCTTTTTTCCCTCATTCCAAATTTATTTCACTATATTATACTCCTTGAATAACATCTTCAAACCCTAATCTTTTGGATTACTGCTTATACTCTTACCATCTCTACCATTACGAGATTTGAGTCGACAACTGCATCTCTGTGCTAATGTGGTGTGGCAACTCGAACTGATGTACGTACGTACGGTGTTCTACGTTGTTACTGACTGACTTTACAACTGCTCACCATTCCCAGACAGTGTGAATGGAACATTGAAGCAGGCCCCTCAACTCTAATCGAAGTTCAGAAAGCTATGGCTAGTCTGAAACGAGGGAGAGCAACTGGTCTACATGGATTGGTTACAGAGGTCCTTAAGGACGGTGATTCAGATATGGTGATTAGGTTGACTAATATTTTAGCTAAATCATATCCAGAAGTTTAATTATTGGCCACGTTATGTAGCTCGTTTGATCAGGTTCCGTCCTGTTTATCGAAAAGAACTTCTAAGTTGGCGTTTTGAAACGGATCATATGTTTCAACGGCCCAATCCTCTACCAAATGAAGTATGTATTCATTTATTGTTGATGAAAATTTATTGGGTTAATTTTTGGGAATTAACATTGTTCACTTCCATCATACTGTCTGGCTCCATGTGCTGGCGTTATTTTATTGTTGAGTTTTTGTGGTAGCGTTGCCGAACTCAATGTTTCAACATTACAGTAAACTGTATCGTGTATCGTGTAGTTGAGTTCAACTAGTAGAAAGCCTATGGTTTACATTCAGTGCTACTTAATACTCGTTATCTGGAAACTTAATTGAAATTTTACCTTATCGTTTATAACACGAAGTTATGTTGTACAATAGTGCGCTGTTATTGCAAAGTAGGAATGTGATTCAAATAGTAGTTTAGTCAAAAAACACAAAGTTAGGTGTTTATACAAAACGGGAAATACAATTTGAAGTACTGTAGTTCATCTGAAACGCAAAGGTCCACCATATCAGCGTTGAAAATATTGAACTAACTTTAATATGTTTTTTCCAACTAACACTAAAGGTGGGTAACTGAGGCATTTCTATTTTGAATCCCAGTGTCGCTTGTCAGTTTGAACCTTGGCGTTTCATTTGTTTCTCAATACTAAATAAGAGGTACGGCGAGAATCCTCTGGGGCATTTTTTCATTTGTGTCAGGCTCTTTTTTGCCTGAAGAGAGAATTCTGTAACTTGCACAGACGGGAACGTTCGCCGAGACGTTCGGAACGTTGTACAGGATAACTTCCTAAATAATATCCCTCACTAAGTCTCGGTGATCATACACTCTTAGCTACCAGCACGCTTGTGGTCATGTAGCTTGATGGAGATGGTTCAAAATGGACATGCTTTCACCCTCAGTAAAGTGAAGGCAGGGAGTATTCTCGTTCCTCCGGAGTACATTGTAAGTAACCACGTTAAACATGTTTATGCCACGATCACTATTCCGTACTTGCGTTTAAGCATGGATATCCTCGCGGGAGAAACTGATCGTCTGCTCGAAAACAGTAAAAAATATGACTTCATGGCGTCATCCACATGTCCACTCTATCCTGAATGTTGAATGATTGTGAGAAATCGACTATGATATTACCCTGTGGAGGTTCTGTCCTGATTTGTGAGATATAAAACGGAGTGTTTTAGTCCAGGGCTAGGAATACATAGTCGAACCGGTGGTGTAATTTTTCTAGTGGCACCTGGATTATATTATCTCTCTGGATGTTGGAAGCTGTGGAAACTCGGTATGTTCCTACGAAAGGGCACTTTGTGCCGTTAGTGTTGGAGTAACACCACCATGTTTTTGCCGCCATCGTTCTGTGTGGTATCAATACATTGTGTGTCTATGTATGTTGTAGCTCCTTCCCCTGTTTTGTGTACCCTGTCTAACCAGTAAGGTGTGTTATCTTGAATACACATATCGTTGCCTGAGACGTCAGTGTAGAGATGTTTTTCAGTCAGAACTACCATCAGCAGTTCGAAACAAATACATGCGTTCCTGACATCTAATCTGCATCTTAGTCACCTTACTTTACAATAGAAGGACTTAATGGTATTTTGCAACGCCTGACGTACCTCTAGAGCAGCATCTGTCTTCTGGGTTAGGAAAAGACTGAGGTTTGAAGCGGGTTGACTTGCCATAGGAATTGGTCGCTGCAGGCACTTTGGCTGCATGGCGTGCCCCAGTGGCGAGACTATAACCTCAGTGTCCTGTTTTGTGGATTACAGATCGAGCTCGAATGACACAGTTGTGTACTCTGTTTGACTTTTATGGCGCTGTCCTAACGATTTAGG